TTTTTTTTTTCAGAAATTATCCAGCCAGGTTTTCAATCTGTAACGGATGGCAGAGAGCCGTCTGAAATCATAACGTACTAACAACTCCCCTTTCACACCATTTATCACAAACACAATCACGCTAAGACAGAAAACAGGAATATGGTAAGCATGTGAGACCAAAGCCACAGGAACTGCACCATATCACACCTGGCTCTAAGGGTAGGTCTACACAGATTATCCAGCCAGGTTTTCAATCTGTAACGGATGGCAGAGAGCCGTCTGAAATCATAACGTACTAACAACTCCCCTTTCACACCATTTATCACAAACACAATCACGCTAAGACAGAAAACAGGAATATGGTAAGCATGTGAGACCAAAGCCACAGGAACTGCACCATATCACACCTGGCTCTAAGGGTAGGTCTACACAGCAGTGTTATTTCACAATAATGGATGCTATTCTGAAATCACAAAGAATGTGTCTACATTGCAAGCCATTATTTTAAAATAATGGTGAGCTGGAGGACTTCTTACTTCCGACTCTTGTAACCCTCATTTTACGAGGAGTGAGGGAGGTCGAAGGAAAAGTATTCTTCCTTTGACTGCCTGCTGTGTAAACATCGCTAAAAGTCGAGTTATTTTGATTTAACTACACAATTGACATAGCTGAAGTTGTGTAGCTTAATTCTATTTTAGCCTTGCTGTGTAGACATACCCTTAATGAGCGCAATCCTGCAATGTGCAGAGCATTCTGGCACAGTGCTTCTGCATATAATTCAGTGGTCACCAACCAGTCGATCGGGATCTACTAGCAAATCGTGGAGCCTTTGACAGGTGATCCTGACTAGTTTGGCTAAGAGGCTACCAAGTGCTGGCACTTCAGCTGCCTCTCCCCCAACTGCTGTGCATCTCCTGCCCTTTGCCTTGGAGCTGCCCCTCCCCCTGGGAGCCTCCTGCTTGCTGTGCAGGGCAGAGGAGGGAAAGGAGGGAGCTGGTGTCAGGGGGACCCCCTCCCACCCTGTATCCTGTCTCCACAGAGCAGAGAGGAGGCACAACAGGACTTTGGAGGGAGTTTGCTGGCTCCTTTAGGGAGTGGTGAAGGACTTGGGCAGGGGTGAACCTGCCTTAGCCCCACTGCACCACCAACCAGGAGCCATCTGAGATAAGCAGTGCCCAGCTGGAGCCCATATCCCGAAACCCTACCCCAGTCATGAACCCCCTTCTGCACCCCAAACCCCCGCCCTAGCCCCCAGCAATCCTGTATCCAAACACCGTCCCAGAGCCTGCATGTAGAACCCCTCCTACATCCCAGCTGCCTGCCCCAAGCTCAGCTCAGAGCCCCTCTCACACTCCAGATCCCTTAATCCAAGACCAGAGCCTGCACCCCAATCTGCTGCCCCTGCCTGTTGAACGTGAGTGAAGATGGGCAAGAAAAGGAGGATGGAGTGAGCAGGGGCAGGGCCTTATATCTGAGGTAGATCTTAGGGTACGTCTAGACTACCGCGTTTTGTCGACGGAAGTTTTGTCGACAGATACTGTCGACAAAACTTCTGTCGACAATTTGCGTCCAGACACATGGAGTTCTGTCGACAAAGCAAGCTGCTTTGTCGACAGAACTCCGTAGTCTGGACGCAGTGTTACAGGCAATAACACCTTCTGTCGACAGAGTTCTGTCGACAGAAAGTGTTATGCCTCGTAAAATGAGGTATACCAGCGTCGACAAAACCGCGGAGTTCTGTCGACGTTATGTCGACAGAACTCCGCGGTAGTGTAGATGCTGGTATTGTTTTGTCGACAAAAGTCCACTTTTGTCGACAAAACTAGGTAGTCTAGACACACCCTTAGATTGCACTTAAATTCAAAAAGTAATCTCATGTTCAAAAAGGTTGGAGACCCCTGATATAATTAAACGCCTGCTAAAGTGGTTCTGATGGACTGGGTGCAGAATGCTCAGCTTCTGCAAGCTATATGTAATCACAGGGTGCAGGCACATGGATCACCTTTACACTGAATGCCACGTTAGTTTTAACACATGAACAATAATCAAGTGGAGAAACATATGCATCCCGGTGTCCGACTCAAATGTCTAAGATCATAAACAGCATAGCACTTGATAAAACTCCAGACATCATTCAAATTGAAATAAATATTACTTTATTTCTCAGGTAAAGATACGGAAACTTTCAGCTGCATGTTCTAAATATCTACCCTGAATGTATGGCATAAAGATGTTTGTTTATCTACTATTTATTTGATAGTGTCTGTCTGTTTGTGTGTTTGTTCAAGGACTCTTCCTAAATGGTAATAACTGGGCCCACCAAATTTGGTATGCAACTTCCTCTTATTATATTATAAGGACCCGAGCCAACACTGGGTAAATCTGCAAGTAGCAGAGAACAGAAGAACCTTAACCTGTAAAGGCAAGATGTGAAGGGAATGATAAATGCAAATGTGCAAAGTAATTAAACTAAAGTAATTAAACTAGAAAATGTTTTAAACCTGAAATGAAACCTGGGCTGACTGTGTTGTATTTGTGAAAAAGCCAAATGGACTGAAAACTTCAATTTTATAAAACACTGTTATAAAACTTCCATTTTATAAAACACTGCAAAGCTTAACTCGAAATAAGCTACGCAAATTCAGCAATGTCAATTGTGTATCTTATTTTGAAATAGGGAGCATCTGCACAGCACTTATTTCAAAATAGTGCTCTTCCTCTGACTTCCCTTACTCTTCATACAACGAGGGTTACAGGAGTCAGAGTAAGAAGTATTCCAGCTTGACAGTATTTTGATACTATTTCAAAATAACTGCCTGCTGTGTAAACGCGGACTAAGTTATTTTGGAATAGAGCTAGTTATTTCGAAATAGTGTTGCAGTGTAGACATACCCTCAGTGATTTACAACAGGCTACTCTTATTTATGAAAACGATATCTTAAGTTGCCAAGAACTTTAGGACTCAACCCTGAAAACATTAACTAGGAGGCTCAGTGCATGTTATTATGAATAATTGGCTTCAGAGTTACTATTCATAATAATAATCAGTATTTGTAATCAGGCTCTGAAGTATAGGGCCATGCATAAAACACATGTCCATTCCCCAAAAAGCATACAGTCTGAAGGCCAGACTCTGCCACCAACACTCATATTGAGTAGTGCCTTATTACAGAAGTGGTCCCATCGCTATTCAACATGAGTTAAGGATTCAGAATCTGAGTTTAAAAAAGGGGAAAACAAGCAAACAAAAAGACATTGGACCTGTGCCTGGGAATGGAGAATGGACAGTTTGATTAGGATAAAAGTTAATGGAACACATGGCAGCAGTACAATTCTGGCCTGAGATGCAAACAAACATTGTGGGGCTTGCTCTTTGCAGAGCTTGTCCCTGAATGAAAGAAACTTTGTAGACTGGAGATGGGTTTCACGTGGTAAACTCTGGTAAGCTGGTTTATGTCTTCTGAACAACTGTCAGATACTGGGCCATACAGCATGTGACCCATCACCTCTTGTGCATTCTGCAGCCAGCCAGGGGGGAAGAAGGGGATTTACAAATGTTTTTTGTACTTTGTACTTTCATCCATGACGTGAAGACAAGAGTTTATGTTCAGTGTCAAAGCCAGCCTAGTTTGGAGATTATGACATATGAATTTAATTTGGGGCTTAGCTGTTGTCTGTTGAAAGCATCTCTTTTGTGTCTGTTTGAATCCCTACATTATGTTACTTCTATCGCTCACGTCTCCCTTTCCCTGGTGGTGATGATGGAGTGAGGTATATTTGCTGTTTTGTTCTCTGACTGGTAATCCACATAACACCTTTGACCTATAGTTCACCACTTATAATCCGACCCGGACCTATAGTGATTAGGTTTCATTACTATCTGAAGGCTATTTGGTCATCCATGTAAAAGAATGGTTGCTAATCACTTCTTATAGGGCACACACTTATGTTGCAAAAACCAAACACACTCGGTAGGTTGGCCAGACACTGAAGGAGCCTACAAACTGAACACGCTTCTCAGCCTACAAACTGAACACACCAATCCAATCAAGAATAAGGAATATCAGTTATCAAGCTTGTACCTTTCACTGTCACTACTGTAAATATGGGACTTCAACCATCTGGGTTGTTGACCTCTGCTCCTTTCACCAGCAATACATGATTAGTTTTTAAGTGTCCAAAAACATACTAAGTGTTTTACAGGATAGACAAAAATATATTCTCTGCCCTCAAGATCTTAGAAATCTACATTAAATCGTACAAGATAAACCAGACAGCAGAAGTGAGGAAAGACAAGGCTTAAAACAACAAATGAACAGAAGACTGTTCTTTGACTATGATCCCAGAAGGATTGTTGGAGACATCTCACCAAGACGGGATCTACTATTTGTCTTCCTGAACTCTTTTTGCCACTTACTAGAGAATAAACAAAAGAGATGGGTAGCTGAATGCAACTGCCCTTAGAAAAGATCTACTATTAGCTGAAGCCTGATTGGAATCTGGAAAGATTTAGAATCTTAGACCCTGGAAATAACGGTCAAGGTGCCTAAAAAGATTCAGCCTGCTGGCAACATGGTAAGAAAAAAATCAACAAAACTTTAACTATACTTATGATATGGACAGAGGTGACAGTGTAATTTCACAGTGAAAATGGCATGTTTCCATCTGGAGTAAACTTCTGAAAAAAAAACCTGATTTCACAGCAGGCCTTTACTATTTCAAACATTAAAAGCCGTTTCCTTCAGGAATGCTGAGATTCCATCCCAAATCATACTTGAAACAAGTGCTTTGAAATAATATTAGATCAGTCTTGGCAACCTTCCGGCTCAATCCTATTTTCCATCTGTTATTCTGGATTTGTTTTACAGAGATACATGAGTTTTCGTTTAAGTGAATCTGTTCGGCGGGAGGAGAGAGGGAGGGATGACACTGAGCTAATCTCTATCTGGTGA